TGGAAACCTCCACAGCTGCTGCTCCTGGTCCCAGAGTGAGTCCTGTGTGCGCTTTAGCCTTAAAGATTTCAGGCCAAAAAGCCTCAATCGTCGGCTCTTTGGCCTCACATGCTCCTCCTCCTCCTCCTCCTCCTGCTGGACTGGACTGTAGAAGAGGAGGAGAGGAGTGCAGCTACAGTTCACACTCTCACCTGGTCTGTCTGCTGTCATCCCTGTGCTGTGTGGCTCACAACGAGCCAGGTTCCCATTTGCTGTATTTTGCTGTGAGTTGAGTGGCACCTTTTTTTGCTGTTTTTAAAAACTGGTGACGTGTTCATGTCATTAATATGAGTGCCCCTGACCAAGGTTACCGGCAGCCATGTTGGTACTGTATGTTGACTTAGAGTAACCAATAGACAAATATCCCTCAGTGTCTGGTGTTATTTGCATGTGATCAGGGCGGGAAATGAACACCAGCCAGTGAGTGTTGATAAAAACTTGACTGTGGCTGGAATTTGTCTCTGCCATCCAAGGTCCAATTACATTTCAAAAAATAAGTCATTTAAGTGGTAAGAAACGTTCAATTTATACTTAGTCAACCACTGTTGCTACATTCATTTCCTGTCCTGCATGTGATAACTGTGGGCTTTGTTTTCATACAGTATAATGCACTTTAAATCCATCCACCTCTCTCCTCAAGATAGTTATTGAAATGATATATAATAGATGTGCAAATGTGTATACACTCAATGCAGGGTTTTAGTCTCTTTAAAGTAGTACTTCTATGTGATGTCACATTCAACACAATGCTATTTTTGTTAAAGTCTAAGGGTACAGCTATTTATTACATTTTATTTTCAATACCAAAAAAAAAGAAAAAAGTTATGGGGTCTGGAAGGTCTCAGGAGTTTATCAAAAAGCCACAATTTAAAAATGGCAGCACCAAAATTTCTGTTCTTGAAGTCAGAATTGATTCTATGCAACATTTTTTCCCCTTTTTTGTTTTTCTTTTTCGTTGTTGGTGTACCGGCTTTCATTGATCCTTGTCGGGTGGGACGGGGCAGATACAGTTAAGCAGATTTTTAAGGTGCAAGCCCTCAACAGTGTCCCCATTAAGTGATTCTCTTTATACACCCTGTTGTGGTGCTGCAGAGCGAAGGACCTCTCTCTTGTGGGTGAAACAAGAGGACCATCCATTTTGTCATCCGCCTGCCCTCACAGAGAGAACAGCCACACCTGGACATTTTGGTGCATGTTGAGCCCTTTTGTCAGTTTGCTGCTCTGTGGCTCAAAGACAGTCAGTTGGTGTATGAAATGTAAACAGATTATCAATTGATGAATCTCATCTAGATGCTTCGAGAGAAGCTGCTGGACCATGTGATAACACTGTACTATTGATGTTATATAAATGGAGAGAAAGACTTATTTTAAATCTTGTAAATACAAAATGTACAAAGGTGAAAGCAAGATAAATATAAAAAACTGAAGATCAGTCTGAGATGTAGAGAGAAATTAATCTGTATATTGTTGAATAAATATTGTGCCGTAAGGGATACGAGTGTCTGTCTGCTTTGTATGAAGAAGTGGTTCAATATGGTTCTATGTCACCATAGAAGTTGTACTACTACTACATATTTAACTAGGTGACTGATTCATTGTGGAATATTGGTTTAAAGAAAGTTAAAGGAGAGACACAAAAGATCAATAATTTCAAACTGTAGAGCCAAAGTTGATTCAACAGATGTTAGTTGACATATACAGTTACCGAATGCTTACTGGTATGATTTTATTAGGAGTGTGTATTTAATTTTATTTGATTTTATTTTTTTATGGTATTTTTTTTAAAAATAGATTTTATAGATTTTTATCAAAATAGAACATAACCAACATACAAGTGCTCTCTGTATTCACAAAAATATCTAAACAGGAAGGAAAACAAACCACCATCCAAACCAAAATGACTTCAGGTAGCTTTTATGGTATAATTTGAGCGAAATGCAGAACATTTTCTGTTTCTAGCTTCTCAAATGTGAGGGTTTGCGTCTTTGTCTACTGAGATAATAAACTGAATATCTTTGGATATTTTACTGTTGATCTGAAAACACAATTGGCAACGTCGCCTTGGGTTTACAAGGTATTATGATGGCTATTTTTCCATAGACCTCACCAAACAATAAATCAGGAGAATAACTCGGATGAATTCATAATGAAATAGTTACAACCCAGGAAGTAGTATTGGTATGTGTGATAAATAACAATCAGGTGAATGTTACACCAAAGGTCTTATGTTAGGGTTACATAAACTGAGCAGTAACAACTAAGTCAAAGTCCGAACTTGTTGCAGTAGGATATAAAATATGAGGAAAATATATTTAAATGCCTGATTGCAGGAACAGCTCTAATCAGTGGTGATATGCTGACATCTAGTGGTGGTAATTCAGAACAGTCAATACTCAGCAGGCAAATCAATTCAACCTGAAAATGACATAAACCTTCCAAATAACATAAACAACGAATATCCCATATACAGTGATTCATTACTTTATCCACAATCTCCTTTAACTGTGGTCTACTGAATGTTAGTTTCTTCTATAAACATTTATTTCAATAATTTTATGATTACAGAAACTGAGATTTTAATTTTCTTTCCATCCTGTCTGTTGATTGTTGTTCTTCCACATTAATTAGAGCTGAAAAACCTGTAAGCTGAACTTTGCCCCAAACACTTTATAAACATACTCACTCACTTACTGCTCACCTCTGACCCCCACAGCACCTTTGTGGGGCCCACACCCTTTAAATACTTCAGCTTATACAGCAGGGAGTTAACTTAATGGAGTCAAACATTACAATTATTGAAATCAATGAGCTACAGAATTGGTTTTACTGAGGACATTATTTTGTCATTATTATATAATATAGTCGAGACATTTGTTGTTGTTTTTTTACTTTTAAACTCATGAACTCCGCAGATGCAGATTTCTCTACAATTAAATCTACAGAATAGCTAACAAAATGGTATTTGGTAGCTGTTCTTGAGCTTTGAGCAGATGGAATTGCCCAAATAATTGTCATGAAATTGTAGAATTTAATTTTCAGGAGCCCTTTAAGAAATTATTTTATCCATGTTGGTTTAAAAAATTGACACTGAAACTGTGATTGAACACTAGAATGAACTCTCAATCTAAGCTTCTCAGCCAATATGGACAAGGGGTCCTAAAAGTGCTCAGAAAAATGGAAATTTTAACATTTACTATTCCATGACAATTTGGCAATCTCCATCTGTTCCTCATCACCTGACCTTCCACCTGTTCTTACTTCCTCTCATCAGCCCTGCAGTATATATACCAGCCCATTTCCACTCATTCCCTGCCAGATTACTGATTTCCAGCCTTTTGTTCAGGCCCTGTTTGGACGTTTTTCCTGTTTCTGACCAAATTAGGTGAACTTTTACCCAAGCTGCTTGTCTCCGAGTCTGCATCTAAACCTGGTCAAACCTGGTTACCTGCTCAGCCTCTATTCTTTGTACTGAATAAACGCAACTAATATGTGAATGAATGAACTATAAACACAAGTATGTAATATCTGAGAGCCAACCAGAGCTCAATCCAGTAACAAGATCCCTATAGTTAAATACTCTGGAGGTATCACCTGGCAACCAAGTGCTGTAACGCCAGGCGAAGGACATGAAACATTGCACTTACATGCAACTGAAAGTGTGTTTTTCAAGCCAGACGCCAGAAAAGACTTTATGTTGTTGCTGTCATTTAACCAAGTGAAAGGAGGATCTGAAAGCAACAAGATGGGTAACGTGAACTACGACAGATCATCACTTTAAATATTGATTTCTTAATGTTTGAAAAATGACTGAGCTTTCTTCTCTTTCACCTGTGGTCTGAACACTCAGTGAAAATGAACTACATGTATGAAAACCCTCTCAGTTTAGGGAATTAAACTAGTGAGACCACTCCTCAAGCTTGTATTTTTAAACATATATCACAATGCTTTAGTTTAGTGAAATGTGAGACCCTGACTTATCTTTTATGGCAGTAGCAATGAATGTGTTGGAGTGTTTAGAGGAGGAGTTTAATATTGTTCTGAGAAGGTGGAAGTATTTAACAGTGCAACATAACATGGCAGTTACAACCTTTTTGTCCAGTGGAGATCATGAAGGATTTATTGCCATGACTGAATCAACGGGTTAGTGTGGACTTATTGTGCAGGTTCTTAATTGATTGGAGTTGCAGGTTTCCTAAATGGATGAAGTTAGAGATAATGCAGGTCACATGACAGCAAGATAAAGGCATATGGCAAAATACGTCCAAGGCTCTGCAGGCTTTATAGATTAGGAACCTGTAACTGACAAGACAGACAGTCAGCCTCTTGTCTCCTCAGACTTCGTCTACTTAAGAAGCTCCGGTTACTTTTTCCAAGCAATGGTTTTTAGCTGATATTCCTCTCTTTTCTTTTCTTTTCTTGTCCCCTCAGAAATGCTACCCAAAATTCAGAATAAAGTTCACCCACAGAACATTATGGAGCAGCTGGAGAAGCATACATTTCCATTAAATCAACTGATTTCTAGTTGTAAAAAGGTGAGTCACTTCACTGGTGTGCTGCATGTTGGAAAATAGATTTTACCTGCATTTAATTTCACAATTTTTACTTAATTAAAAGTACTGTTAGTATTATAGAGAATGCCCCCTGTCAGTGTTATGTTATTATATTAATACATCATCATTATTTATACATTAACGCTTCAAAAACATAAGATGTTTCTTTTTTGATCCCCCGTGGGAGACATTCAAGATGTTGATCAAACTGAGAACATGTTTTGTATGTAAAATACAAAATAAAAATATGAATATCTTTGCATAGAAGTACAACATGGGTCAATCATTTACAAACCCTATGAATCGTTTTGTTTATGATGCTTTGCTCATATTCCAGTGTAATTACTCTCCACACCCAGTAATCTATTTATCCAGATATGCTACCGGGTTTCTTTCTGTCCCGTAAGTGGAAAGTGTATTCGGGTTTCAGGATCTGCTCAGCTCTGACATCACTGATGCAATGCTGAGTGTGCACACAGCACCGACTGCAGAGGCTCCTCTCGCCTAGCACGCTGTCAGCTCTCAGCCTGAGGCAGATCTGTGCACCGTAACCGCCCCCCCATGTAGCCTCCAGGATGGGGGAAGATGATGTGGAGTCACGTCTGGTTCATTCTCTGGCAATCAGCACAGCCAAACCCTCTCAGCACTTTCCTCTCTCCCTTTCTTTCCAGCGCAGTGCCTTTGCCTCGTGGATCAAGGAGAACATCAACAAGAGGCAGTGCTGCTTCTTTGAAAAAGGTGTCAGGTAGGATAAACTGCTCTGTACTGTGTTGATTTGGGGATGGAAATATGGACTGACCTTGTAGTCGGTGCTGCTGCTCAGTAATACAGAGATACTGTAGCATCATCCCGCTGTTGTATTGATGTGAGAGGAGGCATTGCCGTATAATTTGCTGTGGGGGAAGTTATAAATGTTAACTGAATCTGTTAGTTGTTTCCGGGTTGTTCTCACTTTCCTCAAACTGGCTATTTTCTCTTGATGTCTCTGTGCCTCTTTGGTATATGGAAACATTACAAGTATTAGCTTTTGTTTCCACACTAGAGAGGATGTATGTAAGTGTGGCTATGCAAAGACCGATCATGTGGATGAAGCCATCAAACCAGAGGACTTCACAGGCGAGTCGTGGGACAGACACAGACATATCCACGAAGTGCCCACTGATGCTTTTGGAGAAATCAGCTTTGGTGGTTTGGGACAGAAGACTGGCAAGGTAAACCCTCCTTTCTGTCCACTGTAATAACATTACTTAAGTGCATGTAAATGTGTCCCTGCATATCTTCGACCTCGCCTTTGTGTCTGTTTTCCATTCTCAGTATGCACGAGTGTCCACAGACACCAGCCCTGAAACCCTGTACGAGTTATTGACCGAACAGTGGAACCTTTCTCCTCCCAACCTGCTAATCTCAGTGACCGGAGGAGCTAAGAACTTCTATCTGAAGGCTCGTCTCAAGAATATGTTCCACAGAGGTCTTATCAAAGTGGCCCAGACAACAGGTCAGCCTGCCAGAAAGAAAGAGAATGTGTGTATGTGTTTGTGGGAAAAGTCAAGGTGTATCAATGATTAGCCAGAGAAGCTGTGGTTGTTTGTGTTTTATGAGTACCGATGTAGTTATGGAGTGTGTTGCTCCACCTCCATTCAGATTGCAGACAAATATTTTGAGGTTAAATACACTACTGCATCCCTCAAAGGTCTCTACCTTCTGAGCTTGTGCTATTTAAAGTGCAGTGTGCCTCATTTATTGCTTACAAATCTTACTGTGTCCCATTTTATGCTACTTTTGGAAAGCCATCCCTTGAAGAGTGGGGGCTGTTATAGCAGCATATAAAAGGAATAGTTAGATATTTTGAAACTTTTTTGGTTTCCTGCTGAAGATTCATACCTCTCTCACATCTGTTAAATACAACCAGCAGCCAGTTAGCTTAGCTTAGCATAAAGAGTGGAAACAGGGGGAAACCACTAGCCTGATGACACCTCTAAAGCTCACTGATTATTAACACGTTATATATAATTTGTGTAATTTGTACAAAAAACTAAAGTGTAAAAAGACAAGAGGTTTAATGTGGGGTTGTGTGTGGAAATTTATCTCGAAGTCCTCACTGTCAGATTGACAGAATTAAGGAAATCTGAAAATATATTTTAATGACATACTTAACCGTGTGTAAGATTCAGTGGCACATGTCGGTGCTGTTGCTCATTGCAACACTCTTGCCTCACCCTCTCCTACCCTCTGTTTGGTTTGTCCTTTCTGGGCTACTGTAGAAATGGTTCAACATGGCTTCAACTTTGAATATTAAATTACATTTCTGCCAATAGATCCTCCTAAATGTTACACACTGGACCTTAAACAATCATTTGTGTGGGCGTCCATATATTTTTGGCCCTCTGTACAGTATTGAATTGGGACATGTGCTGTGATCTACACAGGTGCGTGGATACTCACTGGTGGTACACATGCTGGTGTGATGAAGCATGTCGGTCAGGCTGTGAGGGACTACGCCCTGAGTAGCTCCATGCAGGGCCAGATTGTAGCTATTGGAGTAGCAACTTGGGGAGTAATTCACAACAGGGATGCTCTGGTGAACTCAGAGGTAAACACATTTACACACCTGGCCTGTCTCTTTCTTGTGGATTAAGATTAATCACCTGCACACCATACAGTCTTCATCTGACTTCCTTCCTCTCCTCCTCCTCCTCCTCTTTGTCTGCAGGGTTGTTTCTCAGCCCATTATTTGATGGACATCAAGAGCCAGGGCCGACTCTCCTGCCTCGATAACAACCACACCCACTTCCTGCTGGTGGACGATGGGACCCAAGGACGCTATGGTGTGGAGATTGAACTGCGTAGCCGTCTGGAGAAATACATCTCTGGAAAGCATCTTGGAAACAAAGGTTAAAAATAGCTGATGCAGCGTCCACAAAAGCAGCATTCCATTACAGATAACATCTTAACTCTGATTCTTCCTGTCTTTCCTGCTTTTAATATTGATTTATTGCTGTGTAACCTCTAGATAGTGGCTTGACCATCCCAGTGGTGTGTGTGGTTTTGGATGGAGGACCAGGCACTCTAAATGTGAGTCATCAGGGTTGTGTCTGTCTCTCTCTCTCTGTGCCTCTGTCTTACTGTCTGACTGTCCTGTGTTTCTTCCCTCAGACCATCTATAATGCCATGCTGAATGGTACACCATGTGTGATCTTGGAGGGTTCTGGGAGAATAGCAGACGTGATCGCCCAGGTGGCAGGACTGCCAGTGAGCCGGGTCACTATCGTCCTCATCCACCAGTTAATGAAAAAGTTCTTTGGCCAGGAGTATGAAATGTTCCCCGACCTCAAGATCATAAAATGGACCAAGATGGTGTGTGAACAGACTGATGAGCCATGCTAGCATCCTCACAACCACATTCACCATCTTAATTTAGCATATTAGGATGTTAACATTTGCTAATTATCAATAACACACAGCTGTGACCGATCAGAACATCATTAGTGTTGCAGGTATTTAATCATAAACCCAAAGTATTGGACAAATCCAAGGTTTGATCTGATAATGGCGGTAAATGAAAGCTCAAGTGATCAAAGGTTATTACAGGTCATCATCTGGGGACCAAAGATGTCAACCTCATTGTGGTAAAAGTCAGGAGATCACCAAAGTCAGTGGGCCTTATCATCTGGGAATCACGAATGTCAGAACAAGTTGTTGAGAAATTTCAAGTGAAAGACAAAACGACTGACTGACTGTCTAAACAAAATTATTACTAATAATATAATTAAAGCAGCATTATAGTAATACCAATCAATCAGTATTTAGATCACATCGCACAGAAACTGACTTTTTGAGAGTTATTAACAATCTGCTGATTGTGCGTTGATGACTCCATTCTGGTATTTCTGGATTGTAGGGCCAATAGTACCCCAACCACAGGATGCTCTCTGTTACTTATTTACTAATTTTAATGCTTTGTCCTCTACTTCCCATCCCACTCGTGGTGTGCCACAGGGCTCAGTTTTAGTTCCACTTCTGTTTTCTGTTTAAGCTTCCTTTTGGGGGCATTTCTGTTTTTATTTCATCCTGTTTTTACTGGTGTAACTCCATTTAGAGTACTCTCTCAGATAAGGGTCTAAACAAACTCAAGGAGACGTGATAACATTGTCCCTATTTTATCCTCCCTTCTCAGGCTACCAGTTAATTACAGAATAGATTTTAAAACTTTACTGATTATTTCAAGGCTAAATCGCTTAGCCCAAACTGTACCTTTGAACTTTTATTTTTGTCTTCTTTATGTACATACTTTTGTTCTGTCCTTTGTCAATTTTTGGCGTCTGATTTGATCGTCTGCTTTCTGTGCCAGATTCAAGACATCATCAGGATGTCTCACTTGCTGACCATCTTCACAGTAAGCGAGGACCATCACGGGGACGTGGATGTGGCTATTCTTCAAGCGCTACTCAAAGGTAGGGATTTGGTTTTCAGATGCCCAGTGCTTGACTGTACTTACTGTAGGCGGCATTAAGTATGAAGACATGCAGGCTTAGTGCCAAACCAGCTCTTAGCAAGTATAACGTTGCTTCTCAGAAAAACTAAGCAGCTAGATTGTGGTATCAAATGTGCAGCGATCGAAAACCAACGCAGATATTCTTGGAGATATTTTATATACAAACTCCAATGCTTCTTGCAAACGTATCCTTCCTCATGCTGTTCTTGAGAAAGCCTGATTAAACTCATTCAGAGAAAGCTTAATACATTATGTAACAAAATCACACTGAGCCATTAGGTGCTCCAAACAACAAGCGACTCCACCACATCAGACATTTATTTACAGTTTTGGTCATGATGATCCATCATTGGAGATAAACTGCTTTGCCCACAGTTTCCATCACTGAGGTCCATTAGAGTAATCAAAATGCATTTCAAGGCAGTCATCCTGCTCACTCAGCGAGGGCCTATAGGACATAGAACAATCTTAATTTTAAGTAAAGCCTTGCTGCTTCACCATGCAGTGCAGCTATTCAGACTACATTTTATGGTGCACATCATTATCAAAACCACCGACCACAGGTTATGTTGTGTTACAGCATCAAAGTGCTGAAATGTATCAATAATTGAAGTCATTTATTAAGCAAATATGCCAAACACTCTCTTGCAAGCTTTTCAAATGTGAGGATTTGCGGCTTTGCTCAATTTTACATCGCTGTAAATTGAAGACGGAGTGCCTAAGACCCCATTAGCTGTTCAAAAAATACTGTTAAGATCTAATGTAATGTGTAATATTTAAGTAGATCTATTGGCAGAAATTGCATATAATATTCATGTGTATGTTTTCATTAGTGTATAATCACCTGAATATATCTGCAACTACCTGCTAGATGCCACTAAATCCTACAAAATCTCTGTAATCTCCAGTAGTCTTGACTCAAGAGTGTCACATACATAAATGTTGTCACTACACATTTTCCATTTTAGCTTCGAGGAACAGCGAGTCACTGGGAATCGACAGCTGGAAGAGGCAGCTTGAGCTGGCTATAGCCTGGAACCGAGTGGACATAGCCGAGACTGAGATCTTCTCTGAGGAGAGCCAGTGGAGGGTGGGACAACACACTGTATAAAACACCAGCAGCAATCTGTGTCAGAGGGTGTTAATGGGCCTTTTACTGCTATTTCCATGTCTTGTTATTTGCTATTGCTATGCCGTGCACTTTAATTTGTACAGCACTTGGTCTTTAAACTTGATTTAATTTGATTTATTAACATTGACAAGTGTAATGAAACTGACTGAAAGCATGGTGGAGATTTAAGTATATATGGCAATTTGAGTAAAAAAGTAAGTCACAGAAGTCTTTTAAAACATAAAACCTTGTATTATGAAACTTTTATGATGGGGCAGAGGGCAGTTGTATCATAAAAGACTGCTTTAGTTTCAGTTTACATCATATCTCGTGATTTTGTCCAAGTCCAGCTTCTTTGCAAGGTTGATGATAACCTCAACATCCAACTTTTTTACATCAAATCAGAGAAAAACTATTCTTTCATTATGACTTTATAGAAAATATCAGACAAAGTGTTGTTTAATATGTATAAATGAAAGAATGCTTAACATAAATGAGCCATCACATTTCTCCAAACATCTGGCAACAGTCAAATTGTGCTCATTGTGTCTTGTTCCGACTAATTCCCACCCAGTCTAGTGACCTCCACTGGGCCATGTTCTCAGCCCTGGTTGGCCACAAGCCTCAGTTTGTGAGTCTGCTGCTGGAGAACGGCGTGAGCCTGAGGGATTTCCTGCAGGACGAGGACACTCTGTGTGAGCTCTACAAAAAGATGCCCAGTTGCTTCTTTCTCCGCAAGCTGGCCAAGCGGGTCAACAGTTCTACTCGCAGCAGGAGGCCAGCGATCGGCATCAGGCCTCGAGCTTATTCAGGCGAAATGATTTCCATGACTCATGTGTCTGACGAGGTGCGCCACCTGCTCGGCAGTTTCACCCAACCCCTCTACCCTCCCTCCAGCACGACAACCCACCTTAACATGTCTATAGAGGATTTATCTCTATCAGTGAGTCTATTTATACACCAGAGTGGAGTATTTTCTGTCAGTTTTCAGAGAGAATTTGGATTTATGACATCAGTGTTTCTGTAATCCTTCACTTCTCCTCTAGCTGTCTAAAAGTGAGGCGCCTTCCCAGGCTCCACTCAGGGAGGACAAAGCTGAAGCACAGAGGGATCTGGGCAGAGACCTTTTCCTTTGGGCTGTCGTCCAGAACAATAAGGAGCTGGCTGAAATTGCCTGGGAGCAGGTGATCAAGACACTTCCCCTATATATACATATTTATACAGACCAAGTGTGAAAATATTTGTTTGTGTGTGTTGTGTGTGTATATATGACCTTGCATCTGTGTTTGTTTGTATCTGCACAGTGTAGAGACTGCATGTCCGCTGCCCTGGCCGCCAGTAAGATCCTGAAGAAAATGGCAGAGGAAGGAGGTGATGTAGATGAGGCAGAGGACATGCAAGAGCTTGCCAATCACTATGAGAAACACGCCATTGGTATAACACCACAGACATAATGCGGGGCTTTTTCTAATGTAAAATATATGGATTTTACAAGGTTAGTATTCGTCTTTATTGTGTGTGTGTGTGTGTCCCAGGTGTGTTCAGTGAGTGCTACAACAATGATGAAGAGCGGGCTCAGAAGTTGTTGGTTCGTGTGTCACCATACTGGGGGAAGACAACGTGCCTGAGGCTGGCGCTGGAGGCTGATGATAAAAGTTTTGTAGCTCAGTCAGGTGTTCAGGTAGAGCAAACTTTCAGATTTATCTTCAGGGGCTTTTCTTTTAACAATTTTAGAACTTGGGACCTGAAACATTTGCCATCTGTTTGCTCTGTAATGTAGAACCTCCACTGCGCACACAAAAACTGTGTTTAATACAAAACATTTAGGTGGAGAAAAAATAGAGAAACTGTGATTGGTGAAGTATTTGATACCCAGATGAGAGTATATGAGATTCAAGAATGACTCGTGTCTGTCTTCAAGACTCTTTTGACACAGATCTGGTGTGGTGAGCTTTCAGTGGACAACCCTGTGTGGAGAGTATTGATCTGCATGGTTTTCTTCCCACTTATCTACACTGCCTTTCTGATTTTCAGGTGAGTTTCATCACCCGTTAAAACTGTCCCAGATTTAAGGGGCTTGCACAAAGTGTCACTGTGTTTAAAAATCTCTTATAACATTAGGTCTCACTTGCTAGATACTGTGTTGAAATTGGTACAGCAAGACTACTCTGGGCATAGAGACGTGAATAAAATAAGAAATTAATTACTAGTACAGCTCTTAATAATATGAAATGGTTTTTTTTATTTTAATTT